GATGGAATTCCAGAAAACAAGGTGGCTGCCCTCTTTATTGTTTGCTGTTTGATTTGAGAGCTTCCAGAATTTTTATGTCTCTGGGTCATACTTCATTTGCAGTTTGTCTTTCTTTATTAGCACAATGCATGTGAATTACTGTACCTATACCTGACAAAGCTACAGGAAGGGATGCTGACTCCACTGTCAGGGTTTGTCCAGCAGGGCTGAGGGGACACTGTGATGGTGGAGTTAGATCTTAGATTACAGCCTCTTGTATCCAGGGGTAACCAAGGGCATCAGTTTTCAGACCTGTCACTTATTATTTACAGAAAATGTGACTTCTAGGAGGAGCATGTCCTCTTCTGAGTCCTGACAACCTTTGGAACCTTGTTTTATTTTAAAAAGTGTGTGTGTGTGCACGCGCACGCTTGCAGGTCAACTTTGTAGAGACACTTCTTTCTATCCACTTTTACATGAGTTCCAAATATTGGGTTTAGACAGCCAGGTTGCCACCTCTTCAGCCCTGACACTGTTGGAGTGACTCAGGGACAGAGGCATTCCAGAAACGACAGTTTACCTGTTATATGAGAGGTTCAGAAGGCTTAACTGAAAAATAAATGTATCTGATGTGAAAGTTTCCAAGCGTGCAGTACTGTGTCTGAAGTGCAGCGATAATCATGCCCCTGAGGATCACAAGTCCTCATAACAGCAAACACAGCTACAGAAAGACCCACAGAACTGCCCTTGGTAAAGGCCTAGGGTTATGAGAAATGATCAAGGTTTTATTGTTTTAAACACACAGCTGGTAGGTTGATAGTGCCATTCTTATCTTGGAGTGCAAAGTGCTTTTCCCTTGGCTGTGATGAGAAGTGCTTAGTGATACTGAAGGAGGGCAAAGGGCTATCTGCTTCTGCCTCCCTAGAACCCGCATAAGCCCCAGGAGGAGAAAGGACACAAGAAAACTGCGATTGCAGTGTCCTCTTGTCCCCAGTGCTAGTGATAAGTCTTTGGTTCCATGGATTTTAACCCCCAGGTTATGTAAGAGTTACATTGCCATGTTTCAACTTTACCAGTGCCAGGCACTGCACACTGAAATGTCCACGTGTTTGCAGTGGGGCCTGCGCACTGACTTTCAGTTGCTCTCAGTTGAGAACCAGAGCCTTTGGGAATGCAGGAAACAGGACCTCTGCTGGGGGGTAGAGGCTGGTGAAGCTGTGCTCTTGTGGGTGACTTTACTGTGCAAGAATCCTCTCTGAAGGACAAGCAGGGATTTGGAGATGCCCTGTTTGCTGTCACCATCGCTGCTGCTCGGTCAAGTGGAGAGGAAGGTGGATTCTGTGGCTGGAAGTTCTGCTCAAACACCAATTCCAGACTGTCTGCAGCGCGCCTGCATTCTGCTCAGGCACTCTAATACGTTGTGATTTTATTCCACAATCAGTTGTAGCTTTATTTCCTTGTTGAATGGAATAGGAGGAGGACTTGACCACGCCTAAAATATGGAGAAGAAGTTTAGTGTAGATATAAGGGGGAAGCAGGCAGAGGGAAGAGTTGAGGCTGGACATGGCCTGAAGACTAAACAGGACCCAAGGGAAGAGAGGAGGAGCAAGAGAGGCAGCTGGGCAAGAGGCTGCTGGGGGCAGGGAGGGAGGCAGAAGCCCCGCCCCTGGGAGGCAGAGGTTTAGAGTAGGGGGCGGGGTGAGACGCGCTGGGCGGAGTCACAGGTACTGAGGCAGACTTGTCCTGGCTATCAGACCTAACACTCCTAAAGAGTAGGAGTAGTCTTGTGAATTTATTACAGCTACATATAATTGCATTCACTGTTCATATAGTTTGTATAACAGCTTGAGTAAAATATTGTGACGTGTGATATAAGTACATTTATAATTATACATTCACAACAAATACTTGCTTTAAGCTTTGACTCGGGCCATTAGTTGTTTCTCTTATTTTAAAAAATGAACTTGACATCTCTCCTTCAGAATTTACTCAAGAGTATCTGCATGTGTTACATGTTGAGTGTTTCACACTTACACTGGGTTCCTACAATGGGTGTAGCATTTCACCTCACACTGTTTTTTAAAAATGACACACACAAGCCTTAGTGCTTTAAGCTTCTCTCGAGAGCTTTAAGGCAATTTCTAACCTTACCAGTTCGCTAATGAAACTGTTACTTGTTGCATGACTCACTATGTATATTGTTGATAGATTTCCTAATGGAGATGACTATAGCTACTCCTCTGTCTCAGGGGAAAGGAGATTTCTGAATGGCTTGTCAGGCAGAAAGTAGACGGTGGGGATCCATGGCCCTGCTTTGCACTCAGACAAGAATAGTGACACAGTCCAGCGTTTCCAGCTCTGTATGATTCCCGTATACGCTTACCTCCCCATCTATCACGTTTATGAGTCTTTGGAAAAGATATATTTAAAGTGGGAACTCTGAAGTTGAAAGTGATTATACATCTCATCTAAACAATTATAATAAATGATAGTTATTGGTTAGCAAAACTTTACTCAGCCCTCTTCTACACCATGCTTTGTCCGAACTAAATGCTTTGGAAGAATCGTGTATCCAAAACCACAGTTTTGGACATAGATTTGTTTCTGGAGTTTCTGTTGCACTGTTGGCGACCCCTGGGCAGCAGTGTTGTGAGGATTAGTTAGCACAAAGGAAAGGTGATGATACCTGAGCTTCTTCGAATGTTTGTGGAGTGAAAGAGGTTGAGAAATGACAGAACCAGGGGCAGGGCTCTGGCAATTTTATGAGGTCCAAACTGCCCCCTCTTTCCCCTCTGCAAGTGACCCTGGGGGCGGGCCTCACCTTTTGGGTCTGGGTGCTTTTCCTAGGGGCACAGAAGTGTTTTCTGCCAGGAGGCTGCATTTGCACCCTTGCCCTGGGAGCCCAGCAGAGGCGCCAGCTGCAGCGTGCCAGCATGGACTGTGTAGGCTGGAAGGTGGCATGGGGCACGGCTGCCAACAGCAGATCCAGGACCAGATGGGTTGCGCGCATGTCTTACTTGCTGGGACAAAGTTGAGGGCGTCCAGAGCCTTTCGAAAACTCCAAGATGGAGCTGGAGCTGGAGAGAGAGCTGGAGTTCAGCAGGGCCCCGGCTCCTGCCACTGGGCAGCAGCTCCTGCAGGAATCCCGGAACCCAGCTACTCACAAGGAGCAGGAGGCAGCTGCGGCCAGGCATCATGGTGGGACTGGATGCGGGCTGCTCTGGCTCACCACGCTGGTCCTGTATGCTGCCTTCATGGGGCTGGTGAGAGCTCAGGCTGCTCCTTCCCAGGCTGGGACAGGAGGCTCGCACTGGGAGCGATCACTCCCCAGCTGCACACCTGCTTCCCTAGCCTGCATAGTGGGAGATCGTGTGCATTCATCTTCCACATCCAGAAAATGAGCACAGGTCTAATCTTGGAGGGTTTCTGTCAACTCAAACGGATTGCCTTAATATGTTTTCCAGCATCTATAAACTTTCATGGGCAACTGGGTGCGATGAGAGGCGATACAGGAAGGGGACCAGGGCCTTCACCTGCTCTCCTCTTCAACCCCCAACACAAACTCTAAATTAACTTGCCACTTCCAGGTAGCCTGAGCAAGTTCAGTCAGCTGGCATTTTTGCAGAGGAAAAAAACGGGCCCCTAGAGGAAAGTGACTTTCTTCATCAACCACGTGGTTAGGTGGTAGGGGTGGAGAGCCTGGGAATGTCTGTAGCCACCATGGTCTTACGATGTTTGTATTTTTAGACACCATGTAACTAAGTAGCCCCTGGCTGGCTTCTCCTGCCACTTTGATGTAGGAGGGACTGGAAAAGAAAACACCACAGGTGCTTAGAGAGCCCTCACTGTGTGCTGGTCTCACAAGTCCTTTGAAGGGATTTGCTAAGAACCTGTCTTCTGTCAGTGAACTTGGTACTTGCTACTGGCCTGTCCATGCTACAGTCAATAGCCCTGTGTTCCTGCTGGAAAAGATAGGGGGCACATTGGTTTGGAGCAGACCAGCGATTTCCCACTAGTTACTCTTGAAATGTAGATAAATGACTTAGAAACGTGTTCGTTTCTTTTATTTTTTAAATTATTATTATTACTTTCGTTTGTTTTGTTTTCGAGACGGTTTCCCAGTAGCTATGGAGCCGCTCCTGGAACTCGCTCTGTAGACCAGGCTGGCCTTGAATTCGCAGAGATCCGCCAGCCTCTCCCTTCCGAGTGCTGAGATTAAAGACCTGCACCACCACCACCCAGCCAGAAACATTTTTCTTAAAATCACCAGGAATCTCCCTTGAGCCCTTAGCTCTTGTTAACACAGTGTAAGGCAACATTTTAATCAATAAAACCATTTTGTACCTGTGTATGTGATTTTTCCTTAAAAGCCTTAGAGTCTACATTCTTTCCTGGTGACTTTGGAATTTCATTTAAGAAGATTATAGATTTAGAAACATCCAAATAGTTGATTTCCAGCATATTGTATTTATGTATCTCAGAATGATTGTATTTTTAACATAACCAGCATGATCAATAAATTAATGTTTGGGAATTTAAATTTGACATCTAAATTCCTATATCAGTAATAATGGAGTATATTTAAAGTATATATTATGAAAATCAATTTGATATATCTTATTAAGTATTAATGCAGAGAAATTTTGCAAAGCACTCTTCAAAATCTAAAAAGTCAGACAAATTTTAAAAACAAATTAAAAAAAGAATTTAAAAGACAAAAACTCAAGGAGCATTTACCTCTAAAAGTAAAGGCTTGAACATTTTGTCCTGTTGAATAAAGGGAATCTCTTATATTACATTGCAATTCCTCCTCCCATTCTTTATCATGGAAAACACTACCATTTAAATAAGCATCAGTTTAATGGTGGTAAGTTTAAGGCTCTTGTCGTTTTAAATTTTAGGGAATAAGCACTGGTATCCTTGGACCTACATTTCAAGATTTGGCAAGAAATGTGAACCAAAACATCAGTAGTCTCTCTCTCATTTTTGTGGGCCGTGCATCGGGATTTGTATGCGGCACCATGATAGGTAGAGTTCTCCTTGACTATATGAATCATTTTTTACTTTTGGGTGAGTGCACACTGTTTTTTTTCTTTTTTTAAATTAATTTTAACTTGACTCTAAACATTGAAAGCTTAGGCTGCAGAATGGTTGAAAACAGAAATGAGTGTGGGTATCCTCCTTGGCAGCTGGGCTACCATAGTACAGAATCTATACCGACCCCCCCCAACCTCTTGATAAGCTTTTTCTCTGGAGTGAGTGTTGGCAGCCCCATGCAGTGTTGACCTTCCCTGTAATGTGGGCTCCACTCCGGGCTCACACACTGGTTGACCACGAAGCTCTGTGAGTGGCATCTTGATTTGCCAGTGAACTTGTGGTGGTAGCCACACCTTATGGACGAGCCTTCAGGTGTTTCAACTTGACCCCTTATAAGGTAGAGAAAGGTCTGGCTCCTCTCTTGTGAATAGCCCCACAGACAGCATGGAAGCACTCCTTTCCTGTGGGAAATTACAATGCAAACGGGGAGGCTTTCATTTTGGGATAGTTTGACTAGTATAAGAGAAAATGATGGCCTGATAGGACAAAGTACATTAACTACTGTCTAATTGCTGTGATAAAACACTAGGATGAAAGCAACTTTTAGGACAAAGACTACTCGGACTTAGGGTTCCAGAGGCTTGGAGTCCGTGCTGGGGGAGCAAAGGCACAGTGGCAGGAACAGGAAGCTGGGGCCTCTCATCTTGATCACAAGCACAAAGCAAAGAGAGCAATTAGAAATAGCTGGAGGCTTTCAAATTCTCAAACCTGCCCCAGAGGCATACTTTCTCCAGCAAGGCCACCTCCCAAGCCTACCTAAACAGTGCCACCAGCTGGGGACCAATATTCAAATGCCAGAGACTATGCTGGACTTTCTCAGTGACACCACACGGGGTAGAATTATTATGTGGCTGGAGACGCACAGGAGCCTCCATTGAACTTCAAATGCACCCAGATTCTGCACTTAGGGAAACCTGTGGGGGCACTATCTTCCTGTCTCTCCTTTTCGTCATTTCCTTTCTCCGCAGCAGAAAATCTCCATGTTTCCTTCAGTCTGCCATTGAAGACCTAAATTCCTCGTGGATCTTTGTTCATCCCTGATCCTAGCTTTCTATCCTCACCTTTCATCTTCTAAGGAAAAAAAAAACAGATATTTGAGAGAACATGGAAATGTTTGACACTTCAAGGTTCTTTGAATATAAAAATTTACATTATGAAACTTTATGAGTGTCTCAAAATACCTGATTTTTTTAAAAGATAGCCAAACATTAGATGTTTCTGGCTTTTTACATTGAGGCTGTTGAAACTATGTAGTGAATTCTGAAAGTTGTTTCTGATTCCTATAACAAGCATGGCAGCATTCTGGGAGCAATCTGACTCCCAGGTGTGTGTTCAGCATGTGCTTTAGACTTAAGCAAACAACACTCTTCAATGGGAATTGGCCCCTGATTGGAAGTACTGAAGCTTCAGTAGTTTTCCCACCATTAGATAAAAATTTGCCTAGCATGTACATATATTTACATATGAACCTGGAGATATAGTTCAGTTGGGCAGAACATTGGCCTAGCATGCATGAAATACTGGTTTCATCCCCAGCACTGCATACACTAAATGGCACATTCTTGTAATCCCTGTAGTTAAGTGGTACAGAGCATCCTTAGCAACATAGCAAATTCAAGGTCAGTGTGGCATATGTGAAAACTGTCTCAAAAATACAAATCATTTACCAGTGTCCTGCTATTCTATTACCATGACTAAGGTAACTTATAGAAGACAGCACTTAATTGCGAGTTAGCTTACTATTTCAGAGGGTTGGGCCATTATCATAATGGCAGGGGACATGGTGGCTTCCAGGCAGACATGACACTGGGGCAGGAGCTGAGAATTTCAGATCCTCATTTGGAGAGGGAGAGGGGGAAGGGAAGGGAAAGGATGAGGGAAAAGGGGAGGGAGAGGGAGAGGGACAGACTGACTGAGCTTGAGGTTTTCCTCAAAGCACAGCCCCAGTGATAAACTTCAACAAGGCCACACCTCCTAGTCCTTCCTAAACAGTTCACCAACTGCGGACTAAGCTTGCAAATATATGAGCTTATGGCTGTCGTTCATCTTCAAACCACCACAATTAGTAATCCTCCTCAGTGAGACTACCATTGTTTTATGATAGATTGTAGCTAGTTCCCGTGATAGTTTACTGATTTGTAAGCTCCATGTATGAGGATGAGGAGTAACACAGTGCTCTGGTGATGTGGGCTGGAGCATCTTATTGTGTGGCTGTGGTGTAACATCACAAAGTCCTATCATCTAATACGGACGCCTCTTCCTCTATCAAGTGCCTATCAAATTATTTCTTTAACTTGTAGGTGGGAACGTCCTCATCTTGGCTCTATGGGGTGACAAAGGAGCCCCACACATGCAGGCCTTGCACTTCAGTTTTGCCTTGGGTGCCTTCCTGGCTCCCCTGTTGGCCAAATTGGCCTGGGGAACCTCAGCATCCACTCAGAACCACACAGCGCCCGACTTCAACCCTCTAATGTTGAACGGATCCTCTGAAGCCACCTCAGACTCTCTGTTTGCAGTTCCTGAGGACATGAACCTGCTGTGGGCATATGCTTCCATCGGCACCTATGTCTTAGTAGTTTCTGTCTGTCTGTTTGTTCTGTTTCGTAAGAAAAGCTCAAGGCAGAAAAAATCCTCCACATCTGCTCAGAGAGTTCGAAGAGCTAAATATCACAGGGCTCTTCTCTGTCTCCTCTTCATGTTCTTCTTCTTTTACGTTGGAGCCGAGGTGACATTTGGCTCTTACATATTCTCCTTCGCCACCACCCATGTTGGCATGGAAGAAAGTGAAGCAGCCGGCTTGAACTCCATCTTCTGGGGGACCTTTGCTGCCTGTAGGGGCCTGGCCATCTTCTTTGCAACATTCTTAAAGCCTGGAACCATGATTGTGTTGAGTAACATTGGCAGCCTTGTCTCGTCTTTCTTTCTGGTGCTTTTTGACAAGAGCCCTCTTTGTCTCTGGATCGCAACTTCTGTGTATGGAGCCTCGATGGCAACCACGTTTCCCAGTGGAGTTTCCTGGACTGAGCAGTACACCAGCATCAGCGGGAAATCTGCAGCGTTCTTCGTAATTGGTGCTTCTCTGGGAGAAATGGTGTTGCCTGCAGTAATTGGAATTCTTCAAGGCCACTACCCAGATCGGCCAGTCGTTCTGTACACCTGTTTTGCATCAGCCATATCCACTGCTCTTTTATTTCCTGTGATGTATAAGTTAGCCACCTTACCTCTGGCTCACCAGCCAAAAGGAAGGAAGAGTGAGGACCAGAGAGCTCTGCTTCCCAGCTCTGAGCTCAATGACTGTGAGAAAGAAAAATAAAGGGAAAGATGCAGGAAAATGGGATGGAACAGATTTGGAAGTGTTTGAAATGAAGTATGAGAGACACTGTGAATAGAGGATTCTAGATATGTTTTTATTTGATAGAGCCCACAGTTAATGCTTCCAGGCAGTTCCCACATGCCTCCATGTTTGTGTCATCTCAGTTAATGGTTGCAGCTCCCCTGTGATACACCAGGAGAAAACGGACAAACATTTGGAAAAGATGAATTGTTTAATAACTTTACAGTTGCTACTCTTGTGGCCAGGTGGAGCCACAAGCAGGTTGTCAGCATTTTCTAGGGATCGAAGCTTCTAGAGTTACTGTAGGATGATACAGTAACTGCTAAAATGTTTTTAAAAATTCTGAACTTCCTATATGCACCAAGTGTTCTCATATAGTGGGGTCTTGTAATGGGACTGTTTGGGAGACTCATGTTAGGAAATATGTTTTTTGTGGTGTGTGCAAAACTGCATTTCTGTTTATGACACTGGCAGTGTCTGGTAGGCAGACACCATAGACATTTGAAATGGATTGGCCTTTGCTGAGCAAATGACCAAGAGCCCATTTTGTCTTAGAATAGTTGGAGATAGTAGTTTGGATGCAAGAAACTGGAAGAAGTAAATTTGATTCTATAAAGGATTTACCAATAGTTTTTCAGTAGCTTAAGTGTTTAAGTAGGAGAGGTATAAGTTTAAGGGAGAGAAATATATGTGAAAAAAATTTTCAGATACCGAATAGCATCTGGTAACATGTGAGGTCGTGGTCCACTATCTGTGGACCAAGGAACTAACTTTGAATACTCTCATACGTTCAAGGAGCAAGGGCAAGGGTTTTGGAAAGCACCTAAAGACAAGCTTGTAATGAACCTTTCGGGTTTCCAGAAAACCCGGAACCTGAGGGAATTACCATCTTGCTAGGTCGGTTTTCTTCCTAAGTTTTGTAACTTGTTACCCTTTGGTTCATCTTGTGCCTAGCATGCCACAGCTGCAAAACTCCCCGGCTCAATCTATTATGACTCCTGACCTGGGCCAGGACGTCCGATCCCCAAGGCAACCAGATGCACTTCCGGTTTGAAACCCGCAACTGGTTGACAAGAGACCTCATGTCCGGAACGAGGTCCGCGCAGGCGCCCTGCGATCGGGAGGGCGGTGCCCAGGAGCCGCACCTGCGTGGTTGGAAGGCTTGGTTCAGGGGTCAAGCTCGCTCGGGCTGGTCCTGGCGGGGTTGGCACCCTGGGAGGTTCTGGGGCTCGAGGGCGGAGCTTGACAACACCGTGCACGCCTTAGGCTCAGGTGCACTGAGCAGGCAGGTAGAGAGCTTTTGAAGCCGCCGCGCTGGAGTTGGAGCTGGAGTTCCGTGGGGCCGGAGGGCAGAGGCTGCTCTCGGCCTACCCGGGGACAGAGAATGAGTCCGAAGCTGTGGCCTCCGGGCGGAAAGGCCGTGCCCAGAACGTGCTGCGCTGGTTCACCACCGTGGTGCTGTGTGCCGCTTTCCTGGGGCTGGTGAGAGCTAGGCTGAAACCTTCCCTGGCCAAGGCTGGAGCAGGTGTCCTGCAGGGAGCGTGGTCTCCTCAGTGTCCTGCGTATGTGTGACCCTTAGGTGCCTTGGTTAATTCCTTGGGTCTCAGTTTTGCCATCTGCAAAAAGTGGGCATAACTGTAATCGTGGAGGGTTTTTTTTGTTTGTTTGTTTTTTCGAGACAGGGTTTCTCTGTTTTGTTTTGGAGGCTGTCCTGGCACTCGTGTAGACCAGGCTGGCCTTGAACTCACAGTGATCCACCTGCCTCTGCCTCCCAAGTGCTGGGATTAAAGGCGTGCGCCACCAACGCCCAGTATCCTGGAGTGTTATTGTCAGACTGATTTAAATGCGTGTTCCAACGTGAGCAAACCAAGTTTCCTGTGGCAAAGGGGAGATAGAGGAAGGGGGCCCGGGCCTTCACCCTTTTTCATCCACCCACGGAAGCTCCAAATTGGTGGCAGAAAAGCATTGAGAGATTGCCTCTTCCTGGAGGTCTGATCAAATCCTGTCAGCCACGCTATTTTCAGACGGGAAACTAGGTCCGGAGAGGAAAGTGGCTTTTCTGGTTAGATGATAGCATCAAGGACATGTTCCTTGCCCTGTTCACAGCCGCGTTTAAATCAAGCCTTCAGATTCTTAAATGATTTTCTTCACTCAAGTGCAAGAACAGAAAAACCGTTTAAAGACAGCCTTTCCCTGTGTAGCTCCGGCTGCCTGGCCCGGACTTTGCTGTGTAGCCCTGATTGGCCTGTAAGTCACAGATACTGGCCTGCCACTGGCTCCGTGTCCACGATGATGATGATTTGTGACAGGGTCTCACTCCATAGCCTTGGCTACCCTCGGAACTCACTGTGTAGATCAGGATAGCCTGGAATTCATAGAGATCCACCTGCTTCTGCTTCTGGATTACTGGACTTGAAGCTCTGGGCCACTGGCCTAAACTTGATTATTTTTTACTTGAGTGTTATGAGGGCTAAACCTTTTTTAAAATTAATTTTTATTCAAATTAAAACAATCTTATTTTACATACCAATCCCAGTTCCCTCTCCCTCCCACCCTCCCTTCCCCCCACCAACTCCCTATCCCACCCCACACCCACTCCTCAGGGAGGGTGAGGCCTCCCATGGGGATCATGGAAGTCTGTCACATCATTTGGGACAGGACCTAGGCCTTCCCCGGTGTATCTAGGCTGAGAGAGTATCACTCCATAGGGAATGGGCTCCCATAGCCCATTGGTATACTAGGGATAAATACTGATCCACTGCCAGAGGCCCCATAGACTGCCTAGGCCTCCTACCTGACACCCATGTGCAGGGGGCCTGATTTGGTCTTATGCTGTTTCCCCAACTTGCTCAGGTCAGCTGTTTCTTGACCCCTTTTCTCATCACTCTTCCCTCTCTGTTACTGGATTCCTGGAGTTCGGCTCAGTGCTTAGCTGTGAATCTCTGCTTCCATTAGCTACTGGATGAAAGCTCTGTAATGGCATCCATAACCCCAGAAAATCTAGGAAGCAAGGAGGACCCTAAGAGAGGCATACATGGACCCCCCCCCCCCAGAATGGGAAAGGGACAAGCTCTCCTGAGTCAATTGGGAGCACTGGGGAGGTAGGAGAACGTGGGGGGGGAGGGGAGAGGGGAGAAGAACATGAAGGATCAGGAAGACTGAGTTGGGGGAAGAACAGAGAAGGAGAACATTAATAGAGGGAGCCATTAAAGCTGGCACTAGAGAAATGTCCAGGAATCCACAACGATAATCCCAACTAAGAATGTAAGCAATAGTGGAGAGGCTGCCTTAAATGCCCTCCCTGTATAATGAGATTGATGACTACCTTAAATGCCATCCTAGAGTACTAAACCTTTGATGAGAGTCACTTCTGTCACTTGGCATCTCAGAGTCCGAATCTCAGTTGTTTCTTTATAATATTTTTGGTGGGAAAGTAGGGAAGGAAGAAAGCGCTGCAGATAATAGAGACTCTCACTATGTGCCAGGTCTTGAAAGTGCTTGAAGAAGTTTTAGGAGAACCGGCACATGCCGTGGGCCTGTATGTGCCTGGTCTTTAGCTCTTGGTTGATGTTTCTTGGGCAGGGAATACCCTCCTGGTTTATAGCAGAATAGTGAACACAACCATTTATTTATTTATTTATTTATTTATTTATTTATTTATTTATTTATTTATTTATATCCTGGGGATTGACCCAAGGATTTCAAGTGTGCTAGGCTCTCACCAAGCTGTATTCCCCACTCACAATCAATGGTTATCAAAATTCACGTGTCTTAGAAACATTTTCCTTTAAAGTTCTTAGGAATTTCATCTGAAATGGATATATAACCCTTAGCCCTTGCTAGTACATTATATAACATCTTGTTAAAAGCCTTCTGTCCATGTTATATTTGTTTTGCTAAGAAAGTCTTTCAGCCCATATGTTTCCCCATGGTTTTGGAATTTGAGGGAAGCCATAGACATAGGAACATTCAAATTGCTTATCGGCAGCATTAGATGTAGATATATGCATAGGCAGTTAAAGGAAGGACTCGGTTGTTCCAGAAATATTGGCATCTTAATGTAAAAGCAGAATAATTTGGTGCTTCATAATTTAAAGTTTTAGCAACTAAATGTCTATATTGTTTATGCATATAGTGTATTTGAAAATTTAAGTATATGTTTTGAAAATAATTTCTTACATTTTTTTTGTTTTTGTGCATAGGGTTTGTGTGTAGAGACCACCTTATTCTTTGACAGGGTCTCTCCCTGAGCTTGAAGCTTACCAATTCAACCAGAATAGCTGGCTAGTGAGTCCCAGGGGTTGCTGGGATTCTAGGCTTGCTGCTGTACCTGTGTATGATGGCTAGTTTTATGTCAAGTTCATACAAGTTAGAGTTGTCTGAAAGTAAGTTGAGAAGATGCCTCCATAAGATTCAGCTTTAAGGCAGTTTCTTGATTGGTGATTGATTTGGGAGGTCTCAGCCCTTTGTGGGTGGTGTCATCCCTGCCTGGTGGTCCTGGGTTCTACAGGAAGGTAGGCTGAACAAGCCACGAGGAGCAAGCCAGTAAGCATCACCCGTCCGTGGCCTCAGCATCAGCTCCTGGCTCCAGGTCCCTATCTTGTTTGAGATCCTATTCTGATTTATTCCAGTGAGGGACTACGATGTGGAACTGTAAGCTAAGTAAGCCATTTCCTCCCAAACTTGCTTTATGGTCATGGTGTTTCATTGCAGCAATAGGAACTGCAGCTAAGACACTGTCCTTTTTATATGAATGATGGGATCCACATTCAGGCATCAGGTTTGTGCAGCAGGCTGAGCGTCTCCTTAACCCCTAGATTGTTACATAGTTTCTGTTAATACACAGTGGTATCTTTATCCAGTACTAAACAGTTGAAAGAAAATCAAATAGTTTTGTAAGTCATGTGTGTTGGAATACACTGATAGTACCAATATTTGGGGGACTGAGACAGGAAGGTTGTGAGTTAGAGGCCATCCTAAGCTACATAGTAAGGTTGAGTCTCCAAAACAAAGTAAAAACTTAAAATATCAAGGGTTGTGAATAAAAAAGCCATTGGGTGGTGTGCAACTCTACTGCTAATAATGTTTGTTTTCTTAGGTTTCACTTAATGTAGTCAGAACTCCCTTGTGGTAGATTGCAATCCCCCAGCTGTGGTCTTGTTGTAGTGGAAAAAAACTACTTGTTGGGCAGTGTCCTAGTGATGAGTAACACTGTCTTCTTTTTGACTGTAGGGACTGAGTGTTGCTATCCTGGGACCCACCTTTCCAGATTTGGCAAGGAATGTGAACCGAAACATCAGCAGCCTGTCTTTCATCTTTGTGGGCCGTGCCTCGGGGTATTTATGTGGCTCTATGATTGGAGGAGTTCTTTTTGAGTGTATTAATCATTTTTTACTTTTGGGTAAGTAGTCCATGCTTGACTTCTTTGTTTCTGTGAACAAATTTACAACTCAGCTTTCAATGTAGAAAATTGTTGATACCTGAGATGGGTAGTGTGCTGGCATCCACCTTGGCAGCTGCATCTCTGTGTTCCTCTTCCCCTTTGGCAGCTGGAGGGAGTCTGTATTGATCCCCTGGAAACTTGATTGACCCTCAGGAGTGAGTGTTGCCAACCCCGAGAAGTGCTGACCTTCCTTGTAATGTGGGCTCCACTCCAGGCTAACACACTGGTTGACTATGAAACCCTGCTTATCTGGGGGTAGGGCAGGGCTTCTGGGGACATGGGGGTCAGAATGACTCCTGGAACCTGGCCAGGCTCTGTGGACTTGGGCTGGAAGATGAAGGGACAGGACAGTAGGGAAGTGATAAAGGTTGCACGTGAGTCCTGCTGCCCATGTCAGAGTTGAACACAGGCTGATCCTCTAGGATCCCGACCCTGGAAAAGAGGACAGAACTGTTAGTGTGCCTTTTTCAATAAATGGGTGTGATTAAAGACAATCTGAGTGACGCATTAAAACTCCTGTTGAACCAAGAATACTCTATTGCTGATGAATAAGTCAATGTTTTATTGCCAAAGTCGAGCTGCTTTAGCTGACTTTTTGACGTTTCTTTTCAGGGGTGTCACTTTCTGCTACCACAGTTGGTCTTTATCTTACTCCATTCTGCAAGACAGCAGTCCTACTGGTTGTCATGATGTCTGTCTTTGGTGTTTCAATGGGCCTTCTGGATACAGGTTAGTGAGTCCATATCGTCATCTGCACTATTGGGGGTACTGCTGCTAGGAAAAGGGAAGCAGATGAGATCATATGATCACTGGGAATGTCAGGCTGGGGCCAGAATGCCTCTAACAGCTGCATCAGAACACCCACCTTTGAGCCTATGAAGCAAACATGAAGTGTGTTTCTCTGTGAACAAGAGGTGATGTAGAATCTCCAAACTTGGAAGTACGGGAAGGTAGGCTTCCCATTCAGGGCAGCGCCTGGTCATTTACTGTAAGAAGCCGTGATGATTCAGGAATGTCAACGCTAGTACAGAGCTGTTGTGGGCTGCAAAGCTGAGCTGTGAGCTCAGCAAAGCCTGTGCTGCTTGCTTCGTACAGTTTCTCTCTTTCCTTTTCTGGAAAGTTCCTGTTCTCCCCTCTTCATAGGGTAACAGGACAACTCCAACTCCAGCATTCCATCCCTTTCCTTCCTGCTTGCCTGTTGCTAGATAGATTGTGGAAAGATTGTATGCGTTAGGTTCTGTTTGGCTGTAAAACTGGAGGGGAAGTTCACACTTATCCAAACATCTTCTAGGCTCTCCAGCAGAACAGGGCAGAGCCTGACAGCTGTGCTTGGGGCTGTGATGTATGTCAGGACCCTGGGCATGGACTTCCGTGACAGTGGCTGTCGGGGACAAGAATAGAAAGCTTTGATGATTTGGCTACTATCTGATGCTAAAGCCAATCTTTTAAATAGATGGGTGTTATATTGGTGTAGCCCCTGGCATGTTGCTAGCACATTTTATGGAAAGCCTTTGCCAATGTTTTGGCCCCAGTGGGTAGTGGTTTACCAGTTCATAGATTCTGTGTGTTAAGAAGAGATGCTGTGATACAGTCTATTGGTGATAGGAGTTCACAGCTCCTCAAATACCGCTTAACCCTGGTGCAGGCTTTGTATCAATACACTGGTTCTGGTTAGTACCAGCATACCCCCTGCCTCTTTTTAATAGCGATGTCGTGTTCTTAGTGAATTAATTTAAATAATTTCTTTTGTTGGCAGGTGGGAACGTCCTCATCTTGGATCTTTGGGGGGATGAAGGAGCCCCACACATGCAGGCCTTGCACTTCAGTTTTGCCTTGGGTGCCTTCCTGGCTCCCTTGTTGGCCAAATTGGCCTGGGGAACATCAGCATCCACTCAGAACCACACAGCGCCCGACTTCAACCCTCTAATGCTGAACGGATCCTCTGAAGCCACCTCAGACTCTCTGTTTGCAGTTCCTGAGGACATGAACCTGCTGTGGGCATATGCTTCCATCGGCACCTATGTCTTAGTAGTTTCTGTCTTTCTGTTTGCTCTGTTTTGTAAGAAAAGCTCAAGGCAGGAAAAAGCCACAGCATCTGCTCAGGAAGCTCGAAGAGCTAAATATCACAGGGCCCTGCTCTGTCTCCTCTTCATCTTCTTTTTCTTTTACGTTGGAGCCGAGGTGACCTACGGCTCTTATGTATTCTCCTTCGCTACCACCCATGTTGGCATGGAAGAAAGTGAAGCAGCCGGCTTAAACTCCATCTTCTGGGGGACCTTTGCTGCCTGTAGGGGCCTGGCCATCTTCTTTGCAACATTCTTAAAGCCCGGAACCATGATTGTGTTGTGCAACATTGGCAGCCTGACCTCTTCTTTATTTCTGGTGCTTTTTGACAAGAGCCCTCTTTGTCTCTGGATTGCAACTTCTGTGTATGGAGCCTCGATGGCAGCCACGTTTCCCAGTGGCATTTCCTGGATTGAGCAGTACACCAACATAAGCGGGAAATCTGCAGCGTTCTTCGTAATTGGTGCTGCTCTAGGAGAAATGGCGATTCCTGCAGTAATCGGAATTCTTCAAGGCCACTACCCAGATCTGCCAGTAGTTCTGTACACCGGTCTGGGGTCGGCCACATTCACTGCTGTCTTATTTCCTGTGATGTATAAGTTAGCCACCTTACCTCTGGCTCACCAGCCAAAAGGAAGGAAGAGTGAGGACCAGAGAGCTCTGCTTTCCGGCTCTGAGCTCAATGACTGCGAAGAAGAGAATGAAGAGGAAGATGCCGAAAAGTGGAACGAAATGGATTTTGAAGTGGTTGAAATGATTGATCCGATGCAGGAGTCTGTAAGGGACACGTCTAGAGATGCCCTAGGGAAGCCCACACCTGAGGCTTCCAATCACTTCCTGTCAAAGGCGTACTTTCCCGTCAGTAGCGGCGACCCCCTTGTGAATCACCAGGACAAAAGGGACTGACAGTCAGAGGAGATGGATCACTGAATGACTCCACTGAGTCATCGCAGCTCCTGAAGCACTCCTCAGGCAGAGCTTTGGCAGACTCTCCGCGTGCGTTGGCAATTGAAATTTGTGTTCACAGCAAGCGGTGAAACTGTTTGAAGAGTAGGCTCTGGTTAGGCGACTGTGTTATGGTCCCCGCCTGTCAGAAGGCGTTTTTCGTGTGAGGAGCTGGGTAGTGTACCAGTAGACGACACTGCAGAAGAGGGGAGCTGTTGGCTGAGCAAATGGTCTTACGTTTGCACTCCGCCAGGGGCTTGAGGAGAGCAGGCAGTGGAAGAGCCAGCTTTGGAGACAGAAACTTTTCTTAACTTTCCCCTCTGTGTAGGGTGGTACTGAAAAACACTGCTGACTTTTTCTTATTTCTGTGAGAATATGGATAGGTCATGATTTCTAGATCAATATCTAGCTTCCTCCCTGACTCCATTCTGAGCTTTGACACTGTCTGGTTTATTGGGTCTCCTGTGATTCTAGAAATGCAAGTAGGGTTATTTCCAAATTTTAGGGTTTGGGTTTGTTTTGTTTCTTGAGTCTTACTTTATAGTCCAGGCTGGCCTGGAATTTATTAAGTAGCCCAGGTTGGCCTCAGACTCAACGCTCTGTCTCTGCCTCCTGAATTTTGTGCTAGAGGTGTGTGCCACCATGCATGGTGAAATGTGTACGTTTTAAGTTGTATATTGTTTTTGCTAAATAACCCATTCATTTCAAATGAAATGTAAAGCAAAAGTGATGGTTAGCCCTTCGGACGTGCCTCGGCTTGTGAAACCCTGCAGTTTAGCAAGCAGTTTAGTAGCACCGCTGCCGTCACTGGTCTATAACATGCCCCTTCCCCTCACACTCAAGGGGAGTTATTTAAGTATTCCAGTAAATTCTAGTCTTGTTTCCCTTGCGTTTAAAAATTTCCCCCCAATTTCTGTATCATGTCCGGGTAATACAGCAGGTCACTGCATTTCAGAGATTATGGTATTTTTGCTGGCACTTTAGAAGAGGGATTATTTTTATATATGAGTCTATATCATGTTCAGAGAGGATTTGGAAACAGTCTGTTGATTTTATGTAATTATTGTTATTTTTTTAACTTTACTTTTTTTAATGCTGGTGACTGAACACAGGACCTTGCACTTGCTAAGCAAGTTCTCTGCCACTGGACTGGGGGTGTCTTATGTTTCAGTTATAGAAGCCATTTTAGAGTTACTGTGTTGGCAGTAAGGTGTGGACAGGTCCTTTGGTGTCCATAGCCTGCCTCAGTAACTGCCTCAGGCTGGATCTGGGCCTTGCAGTTGGGATTCGACTCTCACTGGGTTGGGTTATTAATCACATATGTACTGTAAACCAAGCTAAAAGTTTAGTTTACAAATGAGGCACCATCTTTTTTGGTGATTGGAGAACCTGTGTCCCTTCCAGGACTCCTTGAACTTGAAGTACCTGGAGACCAAAATAAGGTTGGTGTGGTGGCCTAGGAAATCAGGGATAAGGGATGCTGCTGCTCAGATGTGCCAGAGCTCGTCTGGGCCGTCCTGTGATAACTGACCTGTACCTCTCCTCAAGTCTTACGCTGAGTGACAATGAACTGCAATGTGTTTGTTAATCTCTTACCAGAGTTTAAAATTTGTTTTTCTTAAAATAAGTGCTTTGTTTTTTCTTAAAAAAAAATTAAAATTTCTTTTCTGTGTGTGACTTTTGTGACGTCTATGTATAAGTGTACCAGCATGGGTGCTTGGTGTTGGGAGAGTCCAGAGGAGGGCTCAGACCCTCTGGAACTGCAGTTATAGATGTTATCAGCCACCGTGTGGCTGCTGGGACTAGAACTGTCCGGGTCCTCTGAGAGAGAAACCAGTGCTCTTAATGCTGAGCCACTTTCCTGCCACCTTTCTTGACCACTGCCCATTGACTCCCATACGCCTGCAACCACACTGGTTCAGGTTACTTAACACAGCACTGGAGGGAGTGGGTGTAGCACGAATAATCAAAATCCAGAGACAGATACTGGGGTTAATAATAAGACTAGAGAAGCAAAGGGACAGCCACTGGAGAGCTCTCACCTCTGCCAATGCTCAGACTGAAGGGGCGACCCTGTCCTCAGACTGCAGCCCCAGACTGCCTAGACTGCAGACTGAATGCCACATGAGACCCTGAGCTCGTTTTATTCCTCTCCAGTGCTGGGATTAAAGGCGTGCACCACCACTGTCTGGCCTCTATCCTTCATCCATTTGGAGAGATCTCTATATATTTCTTCCCCAGATGTCTTTCTCACCAATTTTCCAGTCTCTTTCCAGGTCCCTGACAATCCAGCCAATCCACTGGCTACAGACTATGAATCACATACATGAGCAATCACACATCTGGCCATTTCTCGTCACACAAAATATATGGCAAGGTGCCCACTGTGAAGATTTCCCTTTGCCAGTGTCAGGGTTGTCCCCAAAAGGTGCTGTAGTGCTGCAGCTGTCCACTTCTGGGTGATTCTTGAATAATGTGTGGAACTTAGCTATCAGTAAGCCAGGTTCTGCTCTTTTTATCCTCAGTCAACCAATCATATGGTACACCTCATGAGGCTATATAGGTGCATGCTTGGCAACAAACAGCACTGTGACAGGAATAGAAACCATAGGCATTTGGGCAACTTCTCCATATAATTTGCTTATGCCCTCAGGACCTGCTCTGGCCCAGTCATGTATTCAATTTGATAATGGTTTGCTGCTGTGTATATCCTACTTGTGACTTGGCGGGCTAGATAACACCCAGCACAGGTCATAAAGTAACTTGGTGGTTCATCGTCAAACTTTCAGTTTCCACTGTGGCCTGAAAGCAGATCAAGAGCTGTCTTCCACAGGGAGAATAGCTGTCTGCAGATGATGGTTAGGGCCTTGCTCCAAAACCCCAAACATCTCTTCTGTGATTCACCTATGGGGTCCTGCCAAAGGCTTCAAACACCCGAATCTGCCACTGACACTTCAAGTACCATTGGGTCTGCTGGATCATACGGTCCAAGTGGTAGCATGCGCAGCAGCCTGGAATGCTCAAGAACCTTCTGTTACAGGCCCCACACAGAGCTAACAGTTTTCTGAGTCACTTAGTATAAGATCTGGAGTAACACATCCAAGAGAAGAATGCTCTATCTCCAGAATGCAAATTGGCTCACAAAACATTGTGTTTTTCTTGGTGTAGGTGTCAGTTCCAAAGGAAACTGCATTTCCCCAAATTCTGGTCGTTAGACATGAGCTAGCACTCCTCAGTTACTTGTGAAGCTGGTTCCCCTCTACCAAAAGGAGCCATTTCCCTTATCACAGTCAAAAGGAACAGCTATCAGTGGCGCTAGTACCAAAGCACATGCTGGCCTCCAGGATCTTCAGTATCCTAAGTATCTGTTACTCATTTCAGAGTCCACAGTCAGCTTTTCTGACCCTCTCCCCTCCCTAAACTTCTCCCGCTCACGGGCTTCCCTCCACCCCCAGATTCTCATTCTCCACATAAGCCATTTCTTTTTCTCTTGGCTGTTTTGTCTTCATCTTCCCCCACTCTACCTGTCCCCTCCGCCCCCCCAGCCCCTCTCTACTCTGCTCCTGCTTCTCTCCCCGCCAGGGCCAGTCTGCTGGCCATGTTCAGTCGAGGACTTTTTCTGTTGTGGACTCTTCCGGATGTCTCTGGCTATTCTTTTCTGCCTATCTATCTACCTTTTCCTTAACCATACCATGGAGTGGTCATGTCATCGATTTATACATCTAGTGCCGAAATCTCCAGGTGAGGTATAAATGGACCCTCTTCCAAGGGACCCGGCCTCTCCTAACCAAACCAAGCTTCTGACTTGGTTCTTCTAAGGTACAGGTCATTTGCCACCCACCATATTCAACTCCAGATTCTAGAGGCCACCTTCCCTCCACCTGCCATGCTTTACTGATTCTGGGCATCTCTTGGCCTCTGGATCCTGAAGCCTGCTACCCGCTCCTGGGTGCCCACCATGTGGAAAGGCAAGCTTCCCTGCCTCACCCCAGGAGCTGCCTGCTCTGACTATCCCTCTTTGACTCTCTGGACTCTGCCATTTAAGTCCCGAGGGCACACCAGGCAGCTTTTCCATGCCTTCCTGGTCCTCTCTGCTGTTGAACCCTCTCTCTGGTGGAGTTCCCGTTTGCCACACTCCTTCCTTCTCTAATCTCTTTTCCTCATGGACTAGGGTTTCATTAAAGCCTTGCTGTTTTACTGCACATAGTCTGTTCTCAGTGGAGCACGATGGCCAAGGATTGCACTAGATTTCCAGTTTCTCCAAGATTGTACCAACTTCTGCCACAACATAAGCAAATGATGCCAAATGATTAAGCCTTCTCTATTTTTCACTATTAAAAATCTCTTATCTTGCCAGGCATTGGTGGCTCACACCTGTAATCCCAGCACACGGGAGGCAGAGGCAGGTGGATCTCTTGTGTGTTCGAGGCCAGCCAGGTCTACAGAGCAAGTTCCATTTTTCTGGTATCTTCTTTAATTTCTTTCTTTAAAGACTCAAAGATCTTGCTGTACAGGTCTTTCACTTGTTTGGTTAGAGTTATCCCCAAATATTTTATGTTGTTTGGGGCTATTGTAAAGGGTGATGTTTCTCTGATTTCTTTCTCAGCCCATTTATCGTCTGTATATAATAGGGCTACTGATTTTTTTTTAGTTAACCTTGTATCCTGCCACTTTGCTGAAGGTGTTTATCAGCTGTAGGAGTTCCCTTGTAGAGTTTTTTTTGTCATTTATGTAAACTACCATATCATCTGCAAATAGAGAAAGTTCGATTTCTTCCTTTCCAATTTGTATTCCCTTGATCTCCTTTTCTTGTCTTATTGCTCTAGCTAGAAATTCAAGTACAATATTGAAGAGATATATAGAGAGGACAGCCTTGTCTTGTTCCTGATTTTAGAGGAATTGCATTGAGTTTCTCTCCACTTAGCTTGATGTTGGCCGTTGGCTTACTGTATATTGCTTTTATTGTGTTCAGGTGTGTTCCTGTTATCCCTGATCTCTCCAGGACCTTTATCATGAAGGGGTGTTGGATTTTGTCAAAGGCTTTTTCCACATCAAGTGAGATGATCATGTGGTTTTTCTTTTGCAGTTTATATGGTGAATTACATTGATAGATTGTCATATGTTGAACCATCCCTGCATTCCTGGGATGAAGCCTACTTGATCATTGAGAATTATTTTTCTGATGTGTTCTTGGATTCGATTTGCTAATAATTTATTAAGTATTTTGCATCAATGTTCATGAGGGAGATTGGTCTGTACTTCTTAGTTGTGTCTTTGTGTGGCTTGGGTATCAAGGTAATTGTAGCTTCATAAAAAGAGTTTGGCAACAAACCTCCTGCTTCTATTGTGTGGAACACTTTGAGGAGTATTGGAATTACTTAAATTTCTGGTAGAATTCTGCACTGAGGCCATCTGGACCTGGGCTTTTTTTTTTTTTTTTTTTTTTTGGTTGGGAGACTTTTGATCACTGCTTCTATTTCACCAGGGGTTATAGGTCTGTTTAGATTGCTTATCTGCTCTTGATTTCATTTTGGTAAGTGAATCTATCCAGAAAATTGTCCATTTCCTTTAAATTTTAAAATTTTGTGGAGTACAGGCTTTCAAAGTATTACCTGAAGATTCTCTGAATTTCCTGTCAGTTGTTATGTCCCCCTTTTCATTCCTGATTTTGTTGATTTGCATGTTCTCTCTCTGCCTTTTAGTTAGTTTAGACAGAGGTTTGTCTATCTTGTTGATTTTCTCAGACCAACTCTTTGTTACATCGATTCTTTGTATTGTTTTCTTGGTTTTGACTTTATTGATTTCAGCCCTCAATTTGATTATTTCCTGGTGTCTACTCCTCCTGGGTGAGTTTGCTTCTTTTTGTTCTAGAGCTTTCAGTTGTGCTAATTCTCTAGTGTGACTATTTTCCAGTTTTTTTCATATATGCGCTCAGTGCTATGAACTTTCCTCTTAGCACTGCCCTGAATGTCCCATAAGTTTGGGTATGTTGTGTCTCCATTTTCATTGAATTTTAGGAAGTCTTTAATTTCTTTCTTCATTCAATTTCCATGAGTTTGTAGGGTTTCTGCAATTTGTGTTGTTGTTGAATTCTAATTTTAAAGCATAGGGGTTATTCCAATTTTTTTGTACCTGTTGAGGTTTGCTATGTTGCCAAGTATGTGGTCAATTTTAGAGAAGGTCCCATGTGGCGCTGAGAAGGTATATTCTTTTGTGTTTGGGTGGACTGTTCTATTGCTGTTAAACCCAATTGGGTAATAACTTCTGTTAGTTCCTTTCTTTGCTGAGTTTTTGTCCGGTGGTCCTGTCTAGTGGTGAGATTGGGGTGTTGAAGTCTCCCACTTCAGGTCTTATGTGTGATTTGAGTTTTAGTAATGTTTCTTTTTACGAACGTGGGTGCCCTTGTATTTGGGGCATAGATGTTCAGAATTGAGACTTCATCCTGATGGATTTTTCCTGTGATGAATATGAAATGACCTTCTTCATCTCTTTTGATTGATTTTAGTTTGAAGTCTAATTTGTTCTGTACTAGGATAGCTACACCAGCTTGTTTCTTGGATCCATTTGATTTGGAGAATCTTATCCCAACCCTTTACTCTGAGGTAATGTCTGTCTTTGAGATTGAAGTGTGTTTCTTGTATGCAGCAGAAGGATGGATTCTGTCTTTGTATCCATTC